CCCTAACTTGCACTTATTTGAATACAATAGACCACCTGGTAGGTGCTCAGGGTAATGGTTTGATTCATCCTGATATACAGGTATGTCTTTATCACAGACTGGAAACATCAGTTGTGCTTGCCTGTGCCTGACAGATTTCATAATTATCAGGTGGTTTGATATTCATGTGTTTGCCTAACAGCACCCTGGTATTAGAATACATAAGATAAAATACAATATAAAAGAAAACCCAGTTTGATATCACCATAGTAATTGATCACAATTGATTAGCACATGGAAATAAAAGTCTGAAGTTTGCCTCTGACAAGAGCACCATGCCTACATTTTCATTTCCCTTATCTGACTAGCATGTGGAAATCTGAGGAAGAGGCTGTAGCAGTTCCTGATGAGAGAAAAAGCAGAGCAGAAGTATACCTGGCAGAAAAGAAAAAATTTTTTGAGGAAAAAGAAAAAGAAATGAACAAACGGGGTTCAAACCAAAACTGAGCAAAGCCATAAAAAAAAGAACTTTCTCTGAACAGCAAGTGACCATGTACCAGCTTATAGATGCAAGTAGATATATGCCTGGGGAAGATGCTCACACTGAATTTTAACTGGTTTACCCTGCCCTGCTAATGTCCTGATGCCTGGGCTAATGACACCAATATAAACTGCCCTCAAAGTTTGACAACGGTCATTTCCGCCCAGCCGGTGTGGTTAAGTATTGACCTATGAACCAGGAGGTCACCGTTAGATTCCAGTTCGGGCACATGCCCGGGTTGTAGATGCGATCCATAGTAGGGGGTGTGCACGAGGTAGTGGATCAATGTCTCTTTCCTTCTCCCTTCCTCTCTCTAAAAATGAAAACATATATTTTTTTAAAAGTAAAAGAAAGCTGTCATTTCCGAGATTTCAAGACTTTAAAAAATAATCCACCAGGGAAAAGTCCAGTAACTGAAGTGGTGCCGTGACTTAAAGCATAGGCAGCATAGGGTGAATGCATTAATCCTGCAGGATGACAAATAACTATTTATTCAACAAAAAACGCTCAGCTAAGTGGCACCTCCCCCATAAAAGCAATCTGTAGGGCGAGCTTGAGGCTTCCTAAGGGCAGCAAGCACTGCTCCCCAATTCCTGACAAGTGTCTACTCCTATTTAATTATTCAAACATCCATCGATTCCCACATTGATAAAAAAAGTCATAATTATCAAAGTGGCTTAAAGAGCCAGCCTTTTACTTTGCTGACTCTGCCCTGTGGAAAGAGACATCAAGTTTGTGTATTAAAGCCGCTCTCTCGATAAATAGTTGATAACACAAAAACCTAGTTGTGCATTCCAAGAAGGGCTGTAAGGGGCATCCAAGGTAAATGTCAATGCTTTCCCAGCATTACTGCCACAGACACACATTACCTATATTTCTGCTGTGTATTTATCACAATTCTGGAAAATGCAATTGGAACCCTTCGTTTCCATGAACAAGCATTCCCTGAATGCAGGACTAAATAGAATGAAACACCCAGCTCCTACCAAATTGTCCCCAAGGAGGATGAAATGAGAATCATGCCAGTTTAATGCCTTTTCTTGTGAATGTTAGGGCTGGGGAGCCCCGGAGTTTAACAGCCTAGGTTATCTGACCTACTAGAATGCCTCCCACTGAACCCCGGTATTAGAGGGGTAATGAAGCCATGCCTCCCCCAAAGAACCCAAACAAAGCACATTCTTTGGGGAAAATGAAGCGAGATGGAGGAGCTGAATCCTGGCATGAATATGTCTAATAGGAAAGTTAATTAAAGGGTGAAGTGAATCGAAACCCCTGCAGTATCTGCAGCTCAGGAAGGCAGCATCCAGGCACACAGCCACATACCAGCACCTTCCTTCCCGGGCCCGCGCTCCTAAACCACAGGATGGCCTCTCAAGATTCAGTCCAGCTCCAACATCCAAGCCCCACGTTCCCCCATTCTGTACTGAAAACACACAACTTCGCTAAAACACGGACTACTGCATTTTATAAAATAAAAGATTTCCTCTTTGTATGGAACTAATAGGTTGCTATTCCTGTGCTCAGCAAAGACAAAAAGGAGGGGAAAAAAATAAAAAAAGTCTGGCAATGAATAACTAATACATTATCATAAGCTAAAGTAGAATAAGCCATGGTATGAAATATAGAAACAATTAATGTAATAGTCTCCTGTCTGAAGCCACAACAATGAGGCACATTATTAACTATGTGTATTTATGTTGAAGTCAGTGATAATTCTGCTACCTCCCATTAAATTACCTAATAAGAACCTATTACCAAAATGGCAGTTTTCCCTGTCCTCAAACACCTTAAAATAGATGGCCAATTATTACTTAACTTCTACTCACAATAACTACTTTATAAAGTTTTTGCCTTAGTGCAAAAAGTCCTAAAGTCCCATGCTAAAAATGAGCATACTACATCCCTCACAACATGAAGTGTCAATTAGAGAAACTACACAATAGAGTACATACAATTATACAGTGGCCTGCAGCATACCTCACTTAACTGAAATTCAAGGTTCAGTGTTCTTGCCTTAAAAATGTAATTACAGTCTATTATGCAACACAGTATTGTCACCTTTGAGTCCTCTTAATACAGTGTTAATGCATTTTTCAACCAAGTTTTCTCGGTCATTTTGAGAGTATTTTAACTGTTAAAGATGCAATGTTGCAATAGAAGAATGCAGAGAGTTTTGACTTAGAGGAGTAATTTCTCATGCAAATGGCCAGAAACTTGAAAATAAAGAAGAGAAAGGCAACCGACTCCTTGCTTTTCCAAATGATGCTATGCCTCCCACACCCCGAGCACCTCGGATCTTTTCTCATTCATCCTCTGAACTCTCTGAATCAGTGTTCTTTGCTAATTTTTAAAATAGTCATAGTTGGGGGCAATGGAATAAGACGGCCAAAAGATAACTGCAAAAATGGTCCCCAATGTGCATTGTCTAATGTGCCCTGCCCATCATTCATGGAAGTATTTGCCTAGCAAGCCAAAGCCCTGGGTACCTCAGGACTCCATGGCCGGTGATTGCAATCCAAGAGCGAGAGCAGATACCCGTCCTGGACCCTAATTCTAAGCAACACCTCACCTTCCTCGCATCAGATTACCAAATGCCAGGCAACAGCAAGAACTGACAACAAAGCCATAAACAGCTGGAAATAATTATACAATTGTCAAGCTGCAAAGATGACAAAAGCAAAGCTAGGCTTGTGAATTCACTATCAGAAAGGATGCTGATGAGAAGGTAAGAGAAGCATTTTAACTGTTTCCAATTTGCTATTATAGAGAAGCCAATAATATGGTTGATGGGGTTTTGTGCAGTGTGTGAATGTGTGTGTGTGTGTGTGTGTGTGTGTGTGTGTTTTCACTTCAGAGAGAAGAAAAATATATATTTCATGTGTTCCTACAAAATGTGAGATAGAAGATATGTAAGCACAACTAAGAAAACAGTCACAGGCTCTGAAGTAATGCTTTCAGAGTTGCTACAACTCCACTACAACATGCAGATGAAAAATATTTCTTTAAAGTTATACAAATATTCTCTTCTTTAAAAGCATAAGAAAAATATACAGACAATGCGATAGTCCAGAATTCTCCACATAACACATCTGACACATGGGCAAAATGCCAAGGCAGGGTACAGACTGGTCCAGAGTAAAAGAATACGAGCAAAAGACGCAATCCTTACAAACTGAGAGAAGGTTCACAGGTATGCAAATTGTCATCGTCCATAAGGGTACATCAGAGCCTCAAATTTTTATCAATGCCTTTAATTCAATGAACTCCTTCCCCAAATAATGGAGTTGAGCAAACAATCTGCACAGTTTAAAAGAATATGGCTATTGGCAGTTTTTAAACCAGAATAACATTCTATTATGGGCTGGTATTTTATTACAATATTTAAATTTCATGTGACAAACTGTTTCATATACTGTCCCAAAAAATGCTACTCTCTAAAGCGGTATGCCATAAATAAAATACGTACTTGGTTACCAGGCAGCATGCATAACACATATGTTACATTGGCCCAAAAAGCACATTTTAAAATGCTTAAAAGTTAACTTAACAATTTAAGCTGTTTGTACCCATTTTCAGAGAATTATCCCCTCAAGGCCAATTTTGTTTTCTATCTTTAAGAGAATACTTGGATTAATCCTGTTGATTTGTTAACTTGAAACTCTTTTAACCCCTCTAATCTCTCATTCCCAGACCTTTTTTTTCCCTTTCTTTTCTTCTTAGAGAGGAGGGCAAAGGACCATATATCACACACTGTAATTTTAAACATAATGCTGTCTGTTTGAATTAAAATTGATGCCGCTCCTGATAAAAGCCTAATAATCAATTCTCCATTCTCATTACTCTCCAGAATTATATGGATGCAGACCAATTTCTTAAGTTTGCGGACCCCTCTCCCAGGTTATTACCCTGCAGTGCAGCTGAGTGGAAAGATAACCATATTCATTCTCCTTATCTGTAATGATGTAATGCATCCCAGCCCTGGGTCTAGATGATTGGGGAATAATGGGATTGTACAACTGCAGGGATGACAAACAATAGTGCAGCGTCTCTCTCTGATCCACTGAACCCCAGCCTCACAGGCAGGCGAGGTGAAAGGCACCACCAAATAGGCACAGAATCTGGACCCCTTGGATGAAGTTAGCATTTTTTGGCCGAGGAGCATCTGCTCTTGGCACTGAAACGGCAGTACCGACACCAAGAGGAGAGCTGTGCAGAAGCACTGAGTTTCAGAGCCCGGCCAGGACAGTGCCTGTGAGTATCCTGCTTTTCTTTGTGTTTAGAATCAAGTGTCATCTAAAAATAGCCAGCTGGTAGGGAGAAGTCACGGCACAGGGCATTGCCAAGAAACCGGGGATCAGGGACACCTCTGCTAACTGATGCTGCCGGGGTTCACGTTTGTTTGGAAAACTAAAACTGCCTCCATTTTCTGTGCTGGAAAAAAAAAATCCTCGCTTGCTTCCTGCCACCACAGAAACCTTACCTTTTGCAGAAGCTGGGAGCCGGAGTACTTAGCAGCAATGGATTTTATCTCCCCGCCGAAAGCCGAGGCCCAGAGCTTCACCCTGCAAGGGAAAAGGGCACAGGAACCAATGTAACCCCCGTGTCACAGCCAACGCGCACGCACAGGCACCCGCGGGCTGTGGCTGAAGGAGCCGGGAGAGAGATACACAGGAGAGGGGGCGCGCGGGGGGGCGGGAGGGAATGAAAGAAAAAGCACCAAACTGCAGAGCGTGGCGCGGGAGGGGGCATGAGGGGGGTCACATAGTTCAAAATGTGCAAAGTCTCCCAGGCTGTCTGAAACGATCGCTGGGTTTTATTTGAATAATCGCCCGAGAACTTACCCACCCCAAATGGGCATCACCTGGCCGATACTCGTCGGAAGAAGCCCACCCATCCTCCTCCCCAAAAAGAAGTGAAGGTGGCAACGACGGGGTAAACAACCGGCCCATGGAAGTTGGGTTCAGTAAACAGGCTTCAAAGTTGGCGCTGTCACTTGAGGTGAGCCTCTCCAGGTCCCACTCGCCAGCCCGGGGGTCGGGGCTGGAGGGTCCCACCCCAACCTCTCCGCCCGCCCCGCTCCGCTCCTGGAAGGAGTGCAGGTGCGAGAGGCGAGGCCGACGCCAGCAAGACCTGCCGGCCGCACCTGCCGGCGCCCAAACTTGAGCACAGCAGGTCGCGGGTCCCCTCCCCGGGCGCGGGAGCTGCACTTACACGGAGAGCGGGATCTGCTGCTCCGAGCGCACCGCGGCCCCCAGCGCGGCGTAGAGGAGCGCGGCGGCCAGGAGCGCCCCGGGCCCCCGGGAGGCGCGGCGCGGCCAGCCCGGCCCGGCCATGCTGGGCTCCCTCCACGCGCGGCGGCGGCGACACGAGCGGCCGCGGGAGGTGCGCGGGGCGGCGGTGGGCTGCGCGCTGGGCTGCCTGCTCCGCGCTGCCCGCCTGCCTCGCGCGCCCAGCTCACTTGAGGAGCAGAAAAGGGAGCGGGCGGGGTGGGGAGAGGGCGGGGAGGAGGAGGGAGGGAGGCGGAGGGGGAGCAGGCGAGGAGGAGGAGGAGGAGGAGGGAAGCGCGCCTCTCGCAGCGGCGGCCGCGGCCCCGCCTCGGCGGCCCGGGGGAGTCCGGCGGCCACGGAGGGCGGGTGGGAGGCGCCGCGCGGGCGGGGACTCGCCAACTCGGGTGTCCTTGGCCGCGGCGAGCGCGCCCTGCCCCGCCCCGCCCGGCCACTGCGGCCGCCGAGTTGCTCCAACTCCGCAGTCCGCCGCCGGGGCGCGCCTCGGGCCGGGCGGTCCACGCCGGGGCGGCTGGGGGCGCCGGAGGGAGGCCGAGGCGGGCGCAGCGCCCTGCACTTGGCGGGTGACCGCTCCTAGCGGGCGCGCCGGGTCCGGGGCAGGGGCGGCGGGTCGGTGCCGCGGAGCCTAGAGATGGCGCGACCCCCGCCCGGCCGCGCAGTTTTCCTGAGAGAAGGCGGGTGAAGAAGCAAAAGTCTGAAGAAGGAGCCGGGTCGCCCGCGGGCGTTGGGGGGCGTTGGGGCTCGGGGCTCGGGGCTCCGGCGGGGCACGGCTGCGCGGCCGCCCGCAGCGCTCCTGGGCCCGCGGCGCTGGCGGGGAAGGCGCGGAGGGCGGCGCGGCCGCGGTGCAGGGAACCGGCGCGGGGACCGGCGGGCCCGCAGCAGAGCCGCCTGGACGCGCCGAACCCGGGCGAGGGCTTGCGAACAGCTGGCACTGGATGGGCCTGGCCGGCGTCCGCGGGGCTGCGGGAGTGGCGGGGCCGGGGTGTCCGGAGCGGGCAGGGAGCAAATCGGGCGCCAAGTCCTTCCGGACGGGCAGACTCCTTTGGTCTGGGAATGAAAGACCCCTCTGAGAGCCAGGGGTCCCCTACCGACTCGGACCCCAGCGACCGGCGGAGGCGCACTGGGGCGGCCCGCAGAGGAAAGGCGAGGTGAAAGAAGTCGGGGTACCCCCGGCGCCCTGAGAACCAGGCGTCCCCGAGGCCTCGGGACCCGGCTTTGGGGCCCCCTGGCCCCCGCGCGAAGTCTGGGGCGTGAGTGGGAACTTTGCGGAACCCTCGCGCCGGCCCGCAGTCAGGACGGACCCCAGCGAGGCTGAGTCATCCTGGACCAGCCGGCGCTCCAGACCTCGCGGGGTCCCCCGGCGGCCTGGGCACCAGGGCCTGCGTTCTCCTGCCCCCGCCTGCCACCTCAGCACCCTCAGCTTTCAGGGAAGGAAGGGGGGGGGGGGGCTGTGGCGTCTGCCCGGTGGTGTCGTCGAGGATCCTGCCCAGCAGTCCCTGGAAAAAGTTCCTCCAGCAGATGCTGGGCTTGATCTCAGAGGTGGCAGCGCGGGGACATGGGCCACTGAGGAGCCCCCCCCTCCCCAGGTTCCCGTGGGCCTTCCAGCTCCCACCTTGGGGCGCAGCGCGGGGAACAGGCCCCACCCAGGAAGCGCCAGGTGCGCCCTGCCCACGGGCAGTGTCTACAATCTCCACGGATGACTAACCGGTTATAATGAATTCTCCGCTTCTGTGCACACCTCCCATCTCAGGAAGCTTGCTAGCAGTTCCAAATGAAGCCAAGAGCGCCTGACCCCAGGGCAAGCGGTCGGGATGGCTTTGCCGCTTAAATGGGGGCTGAGAGAAAAGTAATTTTCCTGTCAGAACCCAGAAGTCTTCCTCCCCCCGCCAATGAATAAATGAGTGAGTGAGTGAAAGTATACTATCCCTTGGTAGTAAGACTCCAATCCATTACCTATAGGGTATCTACATAACACCCCTCATGCAATCCCTGATTTATCCAGTGATAGGATGGTGGGATGTGCTCAGAGACCTGCCTTCACAGAGCTAATACACTAGAGGCAGACAGGCTTGGCTCCAAAAGCCACCGTGATAAATGCATAATCATAAACTTGGACAAGGGGTCAAACATAGCATCTGACAAAATAGTACCTGTAGCAGCCAGCCATCCTATCGTCATCCCTATTCACTGATGGGAAAATTGAGGCACAACAAAAAATACAGCTTAGCCATATTTGAACAACTGCTGGATTGCTAGACTATATTGAGAGCCACCTGGGCACCAAGATCATGAGAACAGTTTATGGTGAAGTCATTATGGTCCACCATCCTGACCCAGGCATTAAACTTCACAGGCAACTAGAGAGTAACCAGGAGAGGAGCCCTAACACAGGGCATCACAGTCACAGGAGAGTGGCATCTTGAGCCTTTGAAACGTACACACAGACTATCTTCAACAGAGCATTATGCACAATACATTAAGGACGGATCCCACTAAACATGTCCCACTCTCTCAAGAATAAAAATATTTAAACTATCTGCTAATTAAATTCAGAACTCAAAAGTGTCACAAAAATTGGGGGTTTGTGCCGCCACATCAGGACAAGTGACCAGAAGCACCTCTCAATATGCCAAGTGCAACACTGGGCACTGGGTCCTACTTGCTACTTTCACCAAAACAAACAAACAAAAATTATATATTTCAATACCTAACTCTCAGTTGAAGCATTGAATCCAGCTAATGAACCTGCAGACGCTGTCCCAGCTGAGGATGCTGCACTTATCCTGCAATAATGAGTGGCTACCAGAGGGGTCTGAACAGAGTGAAACATGATGAAACAGAGGTGAATTTTTCAGAAACCTTCACCGAATCCTGGTCTATGGAATAGATTCCAGAGGAGACCCCACAGCAGCAGTCCTCAGGGCAGGAAAAGGCAGTGAACAGTTGGGACTTTTCACTTCCTCACAATGGCTGGGAGTCCTGCTGGCCTTCAGTGGACGAGGTAGGGCAGTGCCACACAAGGAAGAATTGTTCTGTGTCCCATGAGACTTTCAAATGTCCCACTGGACATTGGGGTAGGAGAAAAGCCTGCTTGTAATCACCTGAATCGAGAACTCAAGACCATTTTATATATAAACACAAAAGAGTGTTTGCATGGCTTTAATAAGCACTGAGTTTTCCAGGAATGCAACTACTGTGTAAATAAAGGGAAGATTTTCTTCTGTTTTGTTCAGAACCTTACCAAGGGGGTTGTTTGTTTGTTTTACCATTTTGGAAATCACTTCTCCAATGGCAACTGTGCTCACAGGTCCTGAATCACTAGCACATCAGTGTCAGTCTTCACTTGGGGTGTGGCATCCAGTTAGTCCAAATATAGGCACAAGCATCTAATGACTTCTTACATCTTGCAGTGCAGTCTTGCACGAGCATTTCACATAGTGAAGTACCTCTTATTATATTATAAATTGCTTTTATTTTATTTTATTTTATTTTACCAGATAAAGCATCATATTGATTTTTTCTTTAATTCTGACTTTGAGTAGGTTGTGCTGTCTTAGAATTTCATATCAGGATGGTAAAGGGGGACTTGGGTCTAACTGAGTAAGACCTACCACTCTGGATTACAAAGACGCCAACTACAAGACTGTGATGTTGCTGGTAGGGATACAAAATGGTTCACTCCAAAGAAGCAAAATGACAAATGCTTTAACCTTTGACCCAGCAATCCTGCCTCTGGGAATGTATCTTACAGTACTAAATGGCATACAGATAGAGTCATTCATTATCACATTATCTCTTATAGCGGAAGATTGGGAACAACCCGTGGTTATCAGTACAGAATTGGTTCAAGAAACTGGTGTATCCTCACAATGGAGTATTAGGCAGCAATTTTAAAAGTGAGGATACTTTCTACCTATGGATATGAAAGATCTTTAGCTTTATTAAATTTTTTAAGTGAGGAACTAAACAGTGTATACTTCATGCTGCTTTTGTGTAAGAAAGGGGGAAATGATACATATTTGTATTTGTTGAAAAACAATGAAAGGTACCAAGAAACTACTAATAGTTATTACCTGCTGAGGGATTAGGAAGAACAAAGTAGAGGGGATGAGTTTGAGAGTGGCATTTCTCAATGTTTATTTGTCACTTTCTAGCATTTGGATTTTTGAGTCATGTGAATGAGGTACTAGTACTTATTCAAAGCAACAAAATACAAATGTTCATAGCTCTGTAACAATTCAAATTCTGGGCCTGGGCTGGAGTGGAGAGAGGGATCGATCATTGGGAAGAAATGTGAGAAACACTTGAAGTCTTTGATCCCTACAGGGGTGGTTCTCAAACCCCCAGAGGTTCTGATTCAGTAATTCAAATTGGGGCAAGAAGGGGTGTGGGGATCTGTATCACCACTTTTGCAAGCACAAGGCTTCTCTCACTCAAGGTATAGTATAGAGCTTGGGCCCAAACAAACCTAAGTCCAGGTCATGGGTCACCCTCACACTAGCTGGGGGAGTTACCCAACCTCTCTGAGCCACCCTTTCTCAATTGCCAAAGACGGTAACCACAGAGCCATTTCCACGAAGACATGAGGAGAATGAAACGGGCTAGTGCAGCTAAATATTCAACAAATGTTGGTTACTACTTTCATTCTGCAAGCGTTGCTCCGGCTCTCACTTTGCCTCGGAGTGCCAAAGCCATGGAGCCCTTGGCTGAAGCCCAGTTTCCTTTCCTGCTTGACCATCAACTAACACTCTCTCTCTCTCTCTCTCTCTCTCTCTCTCTCTCTCTCTCTCTCTCTACCTCTCTCTCTCTCTATCTCTATCTCTATCTCTATCTCTATCTCTATCTCTATCTCTATCTCTATCTCAAACAGAACCCATCTCTCTGTGCCTATCGCACTGCCTGGCCCAGACTTCCATCATATCCTCTGTAGGATCCTTTGACTGATTCCTAATGAGGCATTCCTTCTAATGCAGCGGTTCTCAACCTGTGGGTCGCCACCCCTTTGGCGGTCGAAGGACCCTTTCACGGGGTCGCCTAAGACCATCCTGCCTATCAGATATTTACATTACGATTCATAACAGTAGCAACATTACAGTGATGAAGTAGCAACGAAAATAACTTTATGGTTGGGTCACAACATGAGGAACTGTATTTAA